AGCTAGTCGTTGTTGAAGGCTTCACCTCCAGCTACTAAGTATAACATGCTGATACTGTCTTACTGATCTTTATCGATCTGAACCAGTTTGTATTCCTTTGCCTTTTCATTTCAGCACTTCTCTAAAGGGACCATCATTTTCCAGTCCCTAAGTGGAAAAATGATCAAGGTTTAAGTAGGCCACTGTGAGAATTGTTCGTTTCCTTACCATTCCTTATTCAAACTACCTTTTTTGTTTTTGTTTTTGTTTTTGACAAAGCTAGTTCAGTTCCTGCTCTACAATCAACTCACCAAGATCTCTAATAGACAATGCTAAATTTAGTCTTGTTCACAGTATCCTAATAATGAAAAGGTACTGAACAATATTAGAAATTGATCATGGACCTAAACTGAACTTAGATTTGAAATAATCAATATTACCATATCAAATAAATTCTTAACATTTTTGTTTCTGGTAGTCACTCTATGAATTATGTGATGTAATGTGGTATACATGTGCTATGGTGAGTAATGGTACTTGTGGAGGAAAGTTCTACTAAAAGAAATTTTGAGGGTGATCTGAGATTTATGTGACTACTCAGTCATTTAAAAGGTGCATATAAACTTAGTGAGTTTTTTTCCCTTCCCACGCACATTCACATAGCTGCTACACATCTCTTTAAATATTAATACAGAACCAAAAGCTTTCTACTTAACAAACTCCTAAGGGATATCCTGCTCCTTAAAGGTCTTTACTATGTTTTAGTAATTAAGACCCGTTTTCCCCATTTTAATAAGAGATCAATTCGTTTTTTTTCCCTTAATATTCTATAAGTTAGCTTCAGAGGGTGATTTCAAAAGGATACCCAGATACTGTATTTACACTTAATGAACCCACCTTATCCTCACCCACCAAGCTCAGAAAACACATTGCCAAAGTAAAGAAGCTCTTGGTCTCCAAAGAAGACACACAGATGGCCAACAGACACATGAAAAGATGTTCAACATTGCTGATTATCAAATCAAAACCACAGTGATGTTATCACCTCACACCGATCAGAAGGGCCGTCATCAAAATGAGCACAGATAACAAATGTTGGCAAGGATGTGGCGAAAAGGGAACCCTTGTACACTGTTGGTGGAAGTGTAAATTGGTGCAGCCACTATTGAAATGAGAAGGAGGTTTCTGGAAAAAAAACCTAAAAATAGAACTACCATATGACCCAGCAATCCCACTCTTGGTTATACATCTGAAGAAAACAAAAACAGTAATTCAAAAAAATATATGTACCCCAATGTACACAGCAGCATTATTTACAATAACTAAGATATGGAAGCACCCCAAGTGTCCATCAACAGATGAATGGGTAAAGAAGATGTGATATAGATATAAATACATATACAATCACATAATATCTATAAAGAAGATGAAATTTTGCTATTTGCAACAACATGGGTGAACCTGGAGGGTATTATTCTAAATGAAATAAGTTAGACAGAGAAGGACAAATACTGTATAATTATCACTTATATGTAGAATCTAAAAAATAAAGCAAATGAATATAACAACAGATACAGACTCAGATATACAGAGAACAAACTAGTAGTTACCAATAGGGAGAGGGAAGAGGGGAGGGGCAAGACAGGGGTAGAGGATTAAGAGATACAAAATACTATATATGAAATAAATAAGCGACAAGGATACATTGTACAGCACAGGGAATATAGCCAATATGTTGTAATAACTTTAAACAGAGTATAATCTATAAAAAAATCACTA